ATGATTGTTGCAGCATCCCCAGGGTCATGTGATTTACATTCGGATGCTTGACAACTGATTCATACTTATGACATTCACAGTGTCTCAGGGTGATGTGATCAATAGCCAGGGGGCGTGGCCAACTGATCACTCAGGTTGCAGAGTGCCTGTGGGGGGGGGGATCTGTGGGTCTCTGGGATGGGACTGGGATGGGTGCCTGCCTTCCTTCCCTCCCTTTTCTTCCCTTGCCCCTTCCTTCCTTCCTTCCTTTTTTTCCTTTCCTTCACCTCCCTTAGTCTCTTCCTCCTTTCCTCCCTCTTTCCCATTGTCCCTTCCTTCTTTCCTTCATCTTCTTCTTAGTCTCTTCCTCCTTCCCTCCCTCTCTCCCCTTGTCCCTTCCTTCTTTCCTTTCCTTCACCCCCCTCTTAGTCTCTTCCTCCTTCCCTCCCTCTCTCCCATTGTCCTTTCCTTCCTTCCTTCTTTCCTTCCTTTCCTTCACCTCCTTCTTAGTCTCTTCCTCCTTCCCTCCCTCTCCCATTGTCTCTTCCTTCCTTCTTTCCTTCCTTTCCTTCCCCTCCCTTAGTCTCTTTGTCCTTCCCTCCCTCTCCCATTGTCCCTTCCTTCCTTCTTTCTTTCCTTTCCTTCACCTCCTTTTTAGTCTCTTCCTCCTTCCCTCCCTCTCTCCCATTGTCCCTTCCTTCCTTCTTTCCTTCCCCTCCCTCTTAGTCTCTTCCTCCATCCCTCCCTCTCTCCCCTTGTCCCTTCCTTCCTTCCTTCCTTCCTTCCTTCCTTCCTTCCTTCCTTCCTTCCTTCCTTCCTTCCTTCCTCTTTGTCCCTTCCTTCCTTCCCTCACTTCCATTGTTCCTTCCTTCCTTTCCTCTCTCATTGTCCCTTACTTCCCTCCCTCTTCATCCCTTCCTTCCCCCCCCCTCCGTGCTCAGGAAGGGACAAGGGGAGGGGGATAGGCTGCCAGCGTGGCTGGGGGCTTTGCTGTTGGTGGCCATGGTGACATGCCAAACCTGCCTGTACACAGGCAGAGGAGAGCTCCGTCCAGCTCACTTGCTCAGCTTCGCCAGAAGACATGCCACTTGCTAAGTTAGCAGAAGCTCCAGGATCAGCTCCGGGCTACAGCTGATTCGCGCTTCTGCTAAATTAGCAAGCAGCATGTTTTCTAGCAAAGCTGGAGCAAGTTTGCTGGGCAGGAGCCAAGGAGAGCAGTTACAGCTGATCTGCGCTTCTGGGCTGCTCTGCAGAAGCGCGGATCAGCTGTAGAGGTTTGCCCCGATCCTGGACAAGAGGGAAGGAAGGAAGGATGGAAGGGACAAGGGGAAAGAGGGAGGGAAGGACAAAGAGGGAGGGAAAGGAAAGGAAAGGAAAGGAAAGGAAAGGAAAGGAAAGGAAAGGAAAGGAAAGGAAGGAAGGGACAAGGGGAGAGAGGGAGGGAAGGAGGGACAAAGAGGGAGGCAAAGGGAAGGAAGGAAGGAAGGAAGGAAGGAAGGAAGGAAGGAAGGAAGGAAGGAAGGAAGGAAGGAAGGAAGGAAGGAAGGAAGGGACAATGAGAGAGGGAGGGAAGGAGGAAGAGACCAAGAGGGAGGGAAGGAAAGGAAGTTCCAGCCAGCAGAGGCTTGGCAGCCCAGCTGCCAAGGAACAGAAGAGTGCAAAGCCAAGGAGAAGGTGGCGGTTTCCTCCCAAGGGGGGCTCCTTTTCTCCACCCCTTCCCTGGGTTTGTGGGGAATTTCTTGTCACCAACGCTGACAGGTGCTCCTTCGAGCCCGCCGTGAGCTTTCTCACCTCCTTTGCTTCTCCCCTCCCCCACTTTCATGAGGATTGTGGCGCCCTTGGGAAGCCGATCTTGCTTTGAAGCTTAGGAGAGGAGGAGGAGTACCTTCCTCCTTCCTTCCCTCTCTCCCTGTCAAGCCCCGGCAGGCTCGACATGAATGGGCGGAGGAGACGAGGACGGGTGAGGTGGCAAAGGAGACCGGTGGCCGTCGCCAGACCTCCCGGCTGAAAAGCGCAAGTTCGGGGGTCGCCAGCTGACGGGCGCAGGAGTTGGGTACTGTGGCGGCCTCCCCTTCGCTGACCTGAATGCACGAGAAGAAGTCAATCTGGTTGCTGCACAATGAGTCTCTGGGGAGGGCAGGGCCTTGCTCTACACCTGTACTCTTCATGCGCCCCCTGCAGGGCACATTTGGTAGAGTTCGTGCAGACTGGCGCCAAGCAGCATATTTTCCACAAACAAGTGAGGTGGAGCGGTGGGGGGGAGGGAGAGAAGGCGGTTGACAAGCCCTGCCTAAGACCATTGGAAATATGTGTTTTCCGATGGTCTTAGGCGACCCCTGTGAAAGGCTCGTGCGACCCCCCCCAAGAGGGTTGTGACCCACAGGTTGAGAACCACTGCTTTAAAAGCTGTGGGTGGTTCAACACTGGAAGTTTTTAAGAAGAGATTGGAGAGCCATTTATCTGAAATGTTATAGAGTTTCCTGACTGAACAGGGGATTGGACTAAAAGACTTCCAAGATCCCTTCCAACTCTGTTGTTCTGTTATATACTTCCATATTTTAAATTTACCCTTCATTTTAAAGAAAGGTATATATACCATATATACCATATTGATAGAACTGCATTGAATTTGACTTTTCATAACCAGACTGGTATTCCACCAGGAATATTTGTCAGCAGCTATTTGAGTTTCTGCAGATTCCACCTTGCTTTACCAGTGTGTGTAATTAGTCTTATTCTTAAACAGGGCTATTTTTCCAAACAAACTAACATGGGATGTTGCAATATACAGAACTGATAAACCCAGGATGGACAGCCATATAAATATGATATATAAATAGGATAAATAAGCACAAGACAGAAACTAGCTGCTATGGAGTAGCAATAATTAACACTTTGCAAGAAATATAAAAGTCAGTTGCTTTCTAATGAAGAAGAAACCCATGATGATATAAGGCCACCAGACAGTTTATTATCCAACGTATCATTAGATTTCAGCATTTTTGTCCCCTTGCAGATCAAAAGCCAAACTCTACTTATGCCTTAGGGGAATAAGCCAAATTACAAAAGCTCAAAATTATTCAAATTATGGTTTGAAGATAGAATTTGCTTTAAGCTGACTCATTTCTGCAGGGCATGCGCCCTGTCACTTACAATTATTGATTCTCCTTGACAGTTCAAATGCTTTAATCACTCAGGTTAATAACTAAGGTGGAACAGATATATAAAATCAGAACATTTTTTTTTGAAACAGATGATTTACTCAAGCTATATGTTGCGATTTTCCTTAAGACTTTAGATGTAAACATACATATGGTTTTCCTGAAAGCCAGTTTGTAAGTAATTTGAAAAAAAACACAAAACTGTCCACCATTATAACTTATTTTGGCTGGAAGAGTCCTCTCAGATAATGGAGCAAGAAAAAAGAGCTTATAAAATGCCTGAGGGTTAAAATGACAGTCTGATAAAGATGAGAGAAGAAAAGGAAGAAAGGGTCCTAGTGAACATAACCGTGACCTCTTCTGAAATAGACTTGCTGGCCTGTGGGCTTCTTTCTTAATGGTTTGCACAGGGACTCTAAGAGGAAACTACAAAAGGATAAAGAAGTTAAATCCTCTCGTTCTTGAAAAAGATGGTTTCATTGTTAAACAGAGCATCCCACCATATGCCTGATAAAGAAGACCAGTGTTTATCTAGCAAGTGTCATGTCTGCTTAAATCTCTGGATCAACTTTCGAGAAGCTTTGGAATTCCCTTCCCCATAACTTACCGTATTTTCCTGCGTATAAGACAACTTTCTAAACCATGCAAATCGTCTCTGAAGTCGGGGGTCGTCTTATACCCGAGTTGTCTTATACGCCGGAAAATACTGTATTTTCCGGCATATAAGATGACTTTCTAACCATGCAAATCATCTCTGAAGTCAGGGGTTGTCTTATACGCCGAGTGGTCTTATATGCCAGAAAATACGGTACTTACTTCATACTAAATGCCATGAAAACAATACCATTTTTTTTACATGCAACATGTACAGCGAGGATGTTTGCAAACATTTATGAAAAATTACAAAAACGAACAAACTAGTTCCCTTTCTATACCATTTTATATTTTATTTTAAAAGATTTGTATGTTTATGGCCACCCACCTTAAAACAACTCTGGGTAGCTAACAACAATAAAACTACAAACACCCTAAAAGCCATAAAAAAAACTAAAAGCCCGGTACCTCAATCAATTTTCCAGGGTACCCCAATAATCTTGCACAGGTTTTTTAACACTCTACCCCGGACCTGAGTGTAAACAGCAAGGTTTTAATGGCTTTCAGGAACACTAAGAGGGTGGGGACCTTCTGGATTGCTGGGGAGGGGGAATGTATTCTATAAAGGAGGGGCAGCCACAGATAAAGCCCACTTCCAAGGTTCCATTAGATGGTAATGTTTCAGAGAGGGACCTAGAGCATGCCCTTACTACCCAGTCTAGTGGGATGGACAGATATGTCAAAGGCAATTCCTGCAAACAGCCTGGTCCTATGCCATGCAGAGCTTTAAAGACAATGACCCAGAACTGCACCTGAAATTAAATTAGAAGTCTGTGCAGCTTGCATAACAGAGGTATAACATGAGCACACCTAGAGGCACCTAATACTATGCATACTCCTAGGTTTGTCCACATTCCATCCTTTTGTACAATCCAATAAATGTACTTTCACATCCTATTTTTTTTTTAAAATCTCTATTGCACAGCAACACACAGCAATGCTTTTCAACTTTTCCTTGAACGGCCTGACTTTTAAATTTTCCTTTCTTCAATTCTCCTCAGTCTTTTCTTATTCTGATGCCCAAGTAGATATGGATTACCCAATATTGAATCAAATGATTACTATTGTTTTTGAACCCGGGATTTGATCCTTCTTTAAATGAAATGGGGCTTTGGGCTGTATCATCTAAGAAATGAAAAAAGAGACAGGGGGAGAAAATAGATGAGCTGTAACACTGAGCAAAAAAAGGCAGACTTGAGTATATACCTCAGACATGTTTACACGGCCTTCAAGGAAGGAACAGTCTGCTGCATTGTGAGTACAAATGTGACGATATTTACACCAGTGGCATGGGAAGGATCCATTCACACAGGACAGGCAGCTGTAAAAAACAAAAAAGAAGACAAGCATTAAGACTTTCAGAAACATTTTGATTATATAAGATCTTGTCTTTTTCATTATTTATAGCAGTGTGTCATTAACAAAAGTGTTTCATGCCAAAGAGCCAGAATGCTTACAATACATACAATAAGCAAAGAAATGGACATCAGGCCAAGAAATGAAAAATTTGTACTATACAATGGAACCTGTGGGGACGATTTTATAGGTTAGAAGAGTAGATTAACATTTGGATAGGGCCATAAGTACTGACATCTCAGTTGTTGCTGAAAGCCTCAGTGGCTTTTTGGCAAAATGTTTGCCATATAATACAAACTAGAAGATGGCAATGGGAGAATGAACAATGGGAAATGTCAATGACAATGTCAATGACAAATGAACCCTACAGGACCCTCCAAATCTTTTTCCATAGTTTTATGTCCTTAGTTCCATGTTGAGACAACTGAGTTCACCATTGAATCAAAGATGAGAACACTATAAAGAAGCTGAGACACCACCTTCAGTGACTGCAAACACAGAACTTTACAAATGTCACAGTTTAATATTCACATTCCTTAGCCCTTGTGTCAATTGCCTTCTCCTTTCCCCACACTGGGGCCTCATAATGCTTTCCGTGTGATTAAATCTGTGCCCCAATGACCTCGGCTTCTAACTTGGCAGCATTACAATTCTTTCTTTCCATCGATATGCACTATGGTTGACTCACAGACTTTGTGAGCTTTATTCTGGGATATATGAAAAGCAATTTAAATAAACAGATAGCAAAACAACAGTGCTCCACTGAGTGGAGAAAAATCCTGAAAAATGCAATACAGAATTATTCTGGGGAAAAAAAATACAGTTACCCAAAATCTGAGTCAGATTAACATTTGAAGAGTATCATGGTTTTTTTTATCATATTACAATGTCTTCTATTATCTACTCATGTTGCTTCTATGCATACTATACCCCTCAAAAGGATGGAAAACTGAGTCAACCCTCAGCCCCATCAAGATCAAATCCCAGGCTGTGGGCAGAGTTTTGCCTAGAATGCTGCATTTTAATCATAGCACTAACAGGGCTCAAAAGGGTTAGTGGATTTTTGATAATTAAGAATTCTTTAACTTCATTTTCCCCAATGACCAAACTTGTAATTTCAATTTTATTTATGAGTTTTTGACCTTCATTCCCATTTGCCTCTGCTTTGTTCACACTGGAGAGAAAGATTCAGGAGCTTTTTGGTAGTCTTCATTTGTGAAATATGTAGAGGTATAGGGGGCGGAGGGAGGGAACAAAGAGATGAAGTAAGTAGACTCAGGTTTTTGTTTTAAAATCAGTAGCAGCCTTCTTTTTCATACTGACAGTAGTTAGGGCTGCTGCTAATCCAGAAACATCAGATAAACAGACATCCTAGAAATCATATTCCCCAGTCTCTGGTACACAAGGGCCCAATTATACCTGCAAAAACAGAATGCTACTGTCTGGGTTTGCTATAAATGTGCTATGTTTTCAATTGTCATCTTATTCAGGCAAATGTTTTTGATCTCAGCATTCAGAGAAATGAAGATTTGTATGAGGCCTAAGGAGAAACAAAATCAATTCACATATTTATATAGCTTTGGTGAGCAATGTGAGTAAAGTCTTATTAAGAAAAATAATCAGGAGATGTAAGAAGCTAATTCAAACCACAGTTAACCATTAATCCACCCGTGTTCAGCCCACTTTCTAAAGTTGAGTAGCCAAAGACTTAACAATTTCTGGAACTTTGGTGTCATTGCTAAAGATACCAAAAAATAATAACTATTTCCTGGAAGTTATTTCCATGTTTATTTGCATTTTCATTTCAAAACCAAAAAGAAAAAAGAAAAAACATTTAACAAACATGTTTATTTATTTCATCTATTTATAGATCACATATATCTATAGTCAATTATATGTGAGATTATGCATTTTTTAATACCTAGAAATGCTACAATCATAATTGCTAGGCAAAATATTGATGAATTATTTCATTATCTGGGAAGAAACTATTAAATATTTTACATAAAGAATGTATGAAGTTAATCCTTGCATATCAGATTCCAAAGATTTTATGTATCATGTGATCACAAAAACAATCAGCACAATGGCTGGGCAGCCTTGGTTTAGATGTTTCCATCTGTCTCTCTTTTTGGTTCTCAAGCCTCTATAAAGTATACCATCAAAAACACGTGGCCAAATCATGGACATGCAATTTTCCACCTATGTTTCAGATTAAGAGCAAAAACATAATAAATGAACATAAGCTTTGTGGTAAAATTGCTTCAAAATACAAAGATACAATACAAAATTCTCAATCCCATGCACTTGCTTTGAACTCACTCTGCCATACAGCCTTACCCACTGAGCCTAACTGGAACAAGTTTGCTACCATCTGCAAAAAAGCTACCTGCCATAAATGAAATGTATGGTAAAGCAACCTCGTCTTTTCCAAATATTAATAATACCTGTTGCATCAGCTAATAAACTCCCATGAGGAAAAAACGTAAAAATTGCCCAACTTTGTGTCAAATGAAATATAGTAACAGAAATAGTTAGCTAGGAGAGGACATAGACCTGACATCCAATCTCATCAGTGAAACATCAGCTGAACTCATTTTTGAGATGCCCACAAAAATCAACTGCTCTGAGAATCACTCTGTTTATTTGGGGGTGGAGGAGACACGCATGACATATGATTTTATTTCCACCTTCCATATTGTATAGTATTAATTCTGCTTGTCACAAGCAAAAATATGTGCCAGTTACAAAGTATGTGAAGGGCGGATCAATGACAGAGGGATGTATAATGGTTGTAAATATGTGCCTGCTGTGAAGCACACAAATGGTGTGCATATGACACTGCAACAGCTGTAAATGCAAGGATTGGTTCCAAAGTTGTTTATTAGCACTGTTGTAACTTCAAATGACTGCTGCACAAGGCAGTGAGTAAGCAAGGGCTACCTGTAACGCATGCATGTATTTTATTTCTAGATTTTTGTTAAGCTCACTTAATGGGTGACTTAATGCAGTAATATTTATGTTTGAGAGTATAATCATGTGAAAATGAAACTGAATTACTCCAGTGCCAACATTAATTCTTTAAGCAGGGATGAAATAGTTCTATGTGAGAAACTGAATGTAACCTCTGTTGGGGTTTATTAGCGAGTAGTCCTATGCACCAATGTCTATTAACATCTTCCCTTTTTTTTTTTTGCCACTGCTAAGGAAAACAAAAATACTTTTAATCTCAACTGATCACCCAGCAAAGATCCACTGAGATTCCTTATTTTATCAGAGTACAAGAGTCAGGGAGACTCTTCATACTTCTATTGAGATCTGAATATGTTTCATTCAAAAATAAGCATTATAGCATGTTTGGGAGTTTATCCCCTATATCCATATGTTATCACTATCTGTTTATGTTTCAGTGGCAGGTTGCTTGACAGCCTGACACCATCTGTTCCATCTCTTCTTTTTCCTGGGGTGAACATTGTTTACTGTCAATATTCAGGGACTAAACATTTTTAATGTCTAGAGACAACTTGCATATTTGGTCAAATCGGCTCAGATCAGTCATAATAATAGGCTCAAGCTCAACCTTCCTTTCAAACTTAAGTATTGTTTAAGGTAATACTCAAATCCTTTCATCTAGTCCAGGTAATCTTGCGGCATTTCCGGCAAGTAAAGCCATAAATTGATTAATCTGGTCTAGAATGAATGGAAATATTCTGAAAAAAAAGCTAGACAGAAGTACTATTCCTGTCTCTGCTACAAACTGGTACTTGAAATGTGTTAATTAAATTTCTGTTTGGGTTTGTGAGTTGGCTAGACAAGATTTTGCATTTTTGTAAAAAGCCCATTAAATCTGAGATCATGAGAATAGCAATACCATCCTTCAATTAAGGCCATTTTTGTTTCTTTCAGTGCTGCCTTTTTAAAGTAGGTTTTACAGTATTTGTGTGCGGAATTTTTCAAATTAATTATGATTGATTCTCATGCTTGCCTGTGATCAGGTTCATATGATTTGACATTATACTGGATATTAATATAATTCTGGAAGCAGTGCTATATAAAAAAAAACTATATAAAAAGCGCTATAAAAAAGTTCTCAAAGCTTCATGGGAAATATTGGAGGGAACACTGCCCTCTAGTGGAGAACATCTTTGCTAATAGGAAAAAATAATAACATTTATAGTTACGTTTGCATACATATCTGTATGCTTTCATGAGAGAAAGTAGAATATAAGAATCATCTAAGGAAAACAACTTATTTTTAAATACTCTCTCAAAAAATCAAATAATCAAGAGATGAAAAGCCTTTGCCTGTTAATTACGTTTACATTTTTTCTAAGAAGAACATTAAAAAATGTATACCATATTGTTAAGCCAAGAAACAAAGATTTTTGCTCCTAAAGTGTCTTGTCATCCTACAACACACAAACCTCTGGATTCTGCTATGTGGATCTTTTGTTTGTAGTCAGGATTGCTGGGTGATGCAAACTATAGTTAATGCTAGTTTGCAGAAGGATGAGGTTGTTGTTTTTTTTGACCCAATAGTCTCAATTACCTAACTGATGTTAGGGACCACAAAGATCTTCCTATATTGCAATATTTTCTGGCAGTGTCTGCCCACAAACCTACTTCTTCTAAAGTCCTCTGTGAATGTATTTTGAGCAGAATTAACAGAAGTAAAATGCCAAATAATGCCATCAACAGCAGCATGGATGAAAGAAATGTTGTTTCTTTAAAAAAAAACCCTTTAAAAGTCAAAAGAAGCTGTTTGAGTAGCAGGATGTCTCATTCTAGCACTCCCAAGATAGGAAGGAAAAAACTAGGATGAGATGAGTAAATCTACAATAACATCAATAAGAAACAAGGGACAAGCCAATCATTTCAGTGCAGGATTATCTCGCTGATTTTAACAGTTTTGGAATCAGTGTACCTGTGAAACTATCTGGCTTACCTTTCTTCCATCTATACCAG